AGAGGACAAGGGTAAAGGAGAAGCTTGATAAGTGTGTTAAAGAAAAGTTAGTGGATTTTTGTGAGTTTCTTAATATTCCGATTAAGGCTGGTACAAAGAAGGTCAGTGTGGCAATTTTTATTTTATTTTTTTATAGTGTATGAAAAATTGATGGGTGACCCCTTATCTCATAAGCTGGGCTTACAGGAGGAGCTTTCTGTTAAGTTATTGGAGTTTTTGGAATCCCCACATGTCACAACTGATGTTTTGCTTGCTGAAAAGGAACAGGTTCTATTTCTTCTTTTTCTTGTTCTTTTTTATTTATTTTAAAAGTGTTGTTTGCTTGCTCTAAGTTCAATTGTTGTGGTTTTTGTTAAACCATGTTTCTTGTCTGTGTTTCAGAAAGGGCAAAAGCGGAGGAGGAAGGTTACACCAAGTAAGATGGCAGGTTCTGGAGAAGCATCACCAGAAACATCAGCCAAGGTGCGTCTTCATTAGTCAAAATGAAATTGGAAATTTTTAAGAATGATTTTTCCTATCTGGAGTACATTTTGTGATGCATTAGTTTCCTTAATTCATTGTTATCTTATACACATGGCTCCCTGCTTCAAATGCATATTTTTCAACACTTTCGTTATATGTGCTTATGCCCAAGCTTCTTCTCCCAGAAAAAAAAAAGCCTCAAATGATTTACTTAATCTTGTTTGCTTTTAATTAGATGATAGGATTTACTTATTGAGTCTTCTCTGTATTCTTATTGATCAGTTTTTTTTATTTTTTTATTTTTTAAAAACTCTTAATGTGATAGCATTTGCAGTGGAGTCCTGGAATTGATGATGTATTGCAATGTGTATGTGTGTGCCAGTGGGTCATGCAGCACGATCCATTTTGTATTGTGACTAAAGTTTTGTAGTCTTACTTTCTGCCTTCTTTGTGCTTAGAAACAAAAAGAAATACCCAATGTTGAAAAAAAGCAGGACTCGTCCAAGGCTGAAGAAGAGGAGGGCGATGACAATGATGAAACTTCAGATGCAAAGGACAATTCTGTTGGAGATGATCACAATACGATGGATGAGGATACAGACCATGAGGATAAATCCGATGAAGAGCAAGATGAACCAAAGGACCAGGTCTCAAGTCCAAAAAGTTCATCCAAAAAGGTTGTAAAGGAGGGATCAAAGGTTAAAGCTGGGAGCAAAGCAACACCTGCTAAGAAGAAAACCCCTGCAAAATCTGTGAAAACACCTACGGATTCTGCAAAGAAATCTAGTTCTACTTCAAAAAGAGGTGCAAGTGATGCCGATGGAGCTTCTGGCTCACAGACTAAAGCAAAGCGATCTGCAAAGAAACAAAAGACTGAAAAGGAAAGCCAGAAGGATGTCAAGGAAAAAGCCAGTGGCAAGAAACAGTCGAGCAAGTCCCCGGCCAAGGTTTCGGCAAAGGATCAAGGTGATTTGCTTTTGCTGTGGATTCTTCCTACTTATTTTGATACTTTAATGTTTTTACTTTAAGGCTGTTTCATGAAATGCTTAATTCTCCTAGTAGTTTAGGAGTGTCTCTTTTAATTGTATCAATTTCTTGCATGAGCCAGCGAAAGGAAAAACTAGCAAGAAAGCAAAGGCAGAGCCCACAAAAGATGATATGCATGCAGTAATTGTTGATATTCTGAAAGAAGTGGACTTCAATACTGTAAGTGACTATTGCAACAATACATTGAGTGGATGGTTGAAGTTATGTGAGTTAATATTATTTAATTTCCGCATTTTCTCTGTGCAGGCAACTTTATCAGACATTCTCAGGCAACTTGGTAGGGCTTCTTTCTATCTTCTATGATTTCTTTTTTTCCTTTCATAATCTTCGCTTACACTTAGCTAACTGCAAAACTGTAATTTACTTAGGTACCCACTTCGGTATTGATTTAATGCATAGAAAAGCAGAGGTGAAGGATATAATTACAGAAGTAATTAACAATATGTCTGATGAGGAAGATGAAGGGGATGAAGCAGAGGAGGAAGCTGAAGCTGGTGATGATGCCGACAAAGATGAAGAAAAGGATGACAACGACGAAGATGATGCTTAGTTCATAGTAGGCCAGAGCTTATACGTGACTGTTGCAGAAATTGTGCCATACGGCGGCATTCACCAGTTCATATCTTTCTACAGAGGTGTGTGTCATCCGCAGTTTTTAAGAACCGATAGGATTGCCTTAATTTTCAGATAAATATACCCAGCTGGGTGTGTTTGTACCATATTATTTTAACCTCTTTTGTAGTGTTAATCTGACCTCAGATTCATATGTTAGGTTTGTTTACTTCTTTTTAAGTTAAACCCCCCTCCTATAAAAGTTGTTTAGCTGTAGCCATGACTTGATTTTCATCATAAATGAGTAGTAAGTGGGTTTTTTTTCCTTAATTGTTTTCTGTTCTTTTTTCGACTACAATAATTGCAATTTGATTTAGCACGAGGGTTACTTTTTTGGGAGCCTAGATTTTGGGGAATTAACAAACTGTCCCACTAAATTTTGAGGAAAAAAGATTAAAATGAACTAATTAGTGATTATTAAAACGAAACTTACTGGCATCTAAATCAACCTATAACAATTTAAACATTTACGGGTTCGTTTGGAGATGCTTTTTTAGGAATCGCTTCTACCAAAAGCACTTTTATTATAAAGATGTTGAAATTTTCATAAGAAATAGAAGTGCTTTTTAGAAAATTACTTGGGCATGATTTCTGAAGAAACACATGACATGTGCTTTTCTAGAAAGTGATTATGGCCTAAAAACGCTTTTAAACATTTTTGTCAAATGATATCAAAAGCGTTTTTGATTGTTAGAAAGTGCTTTTAACTATTCTAAAAGCACTCCCAAACAGACCCTACATTACATGATCCACTGCAAGTAAAAAAAAAATTAAAATTGAATAATTTTATAATGATTATCATAAAGGTTGTTGGTTAAGGAGTTTGTAGGTTCGTATTAAAAAAAAGGAGCTTATAATTCAAGTGATTCAGAATATTAGTAGGAGCTTGTAGCTCAAAAGAAAAAGAAATGATGATTGAGATTTTTGCTTTTTTCAATACGGTAATAGTTAAATAAGTTGGGTATTCTTGTTTGACAGTAATCAAACATGTTTATTATTCGTATAATCGTATTTAACAAGTTGTGCTATTAAGCATCATATCGAATTTGAGTCGTATATAAAAGTCATCCCTTCCCTATTGTAAGGAAAGAAAACACATTGGCATGGTAATATTCTAAATTTCTGTTTCTAAAAACAGAAACAATAAGGTTATATCTTGACTAAAAACAGTATTTTTGATTTTATTCTTCTTTTAAGAAAGTAAAGGCGAAGGACAGAAGGACAGAAGGACAAAGGGACAAAAAGGACAATAGGAGAGAGGAGTATTGAGATATGGCTTGATGATTTTTTTCAATTGAATAGTGTAAAATGATTTTTTAAAGGGAGTTTTATTAAAACACCCAAAATGGGGGTTGAAATTATAAAAAAACCCAAGCATTATTTAAACATATAAACACACCAAAAATCCATTATTACATACACTCAAAACCCATTTATAAACACACCCAAAAAGTTGACTTTGGGGTTGATTTTGGGTGTGTTTCTATGTTTAAATAGTGCTTGAGTTTTTTTATAAATACATGTCTAAGATTGAATTTATTTATAAATTTGTATTTTTTAAAATGTATTTTCTTTTAATTTCAGTCCTCGTTTCTTTTTATTTTGTATTGTCAAAATTAACCTTTTTGAGCTAACAAGCTGTATCTGTCTGCTTTTATTATCTGGTTTCTGGGCCATACAAACAGCTCCTTTGATACATATCCCTTATTTTAAGGGGGAGACCAGAATTTCATGCACATTGTTAATTAACCCTATGTTACTCAAAGTTGATTGAAAAGTCTCATCCAACTTGGTATAATTTTGTATTTAATACCCATTCATAAGGTCCGATAATGGGGTAATGCATTTTTCTTGCAAGTTTCTTAGGAGATTATGGACCTATAGCGTCAGTGATGGAACATTTAACTCTATAGTATAGAGTCTATACTAACCACGAGAGCTTGATTCGAAATTGATGCGGATTTCAGAGCCGTCTCATGATTACTATTAGTAAGAAGATAATATCCCAATCCAAATCTAATGCTAACTTGTAGCTGTGAGATTTAGGGATTAGCTTATGGTTAACCTCAACCTAAAATCTAAGGGAACCTTCTAACTTCTGTGTGATTGGCTAAAACTTGTAAGAAAGCCATTGTCAGCTGTATGCAAATAGTACTTGTTTTATGATGATCACTCACTTTTCTTCCAATTCCAATTAAGGTCAGAAAGTTCAGATACTATGGCCATGAAATTCATATAAATCTTATTCTAATCAGTAATTTTGTGTTTAAATATTTAGAGCAAGTATACCAAGCAACCTAATATATATATTTTGGAGGCCTAACACACCAACCAAACCCCATCATCATCTGATTCTAATCATGTGCTGGTAACATTTTGGTTCACTGGCCAGTACCCTACTGCAGCTCATATGAGCTTAGCACATTCTGCAGATAAAAATACCAATCTCCAATACATATACTTTATAAAATCTTATTAATTTAACAATAAAAATAAAGGGTCTGTCAGACTGTCGGAGGCTTAAATTTCTTGTTCATGAGAGAGGGGCTATTCCACTAAAAGAGCTTTGCGTATGAACCCCAACCAATTAGACACGTGAAAGAAAACCAGTCTCTTTCATGCTGCAGAGCTCTTTGCCAACCAAAACAATTTTAATGTTTGAAGTTTTTTGTCTTGCTTTTTTTTCTTTTTGGGGTTTGGTAGAGAAACAAGAAATCCATTACTAGTTATAATTAAAATACAGAAACTAGCGACACATCACATCAGTTTCAACCAAACCTCAGAGCTACAAAGCATTTCCCCAGCTGCGCCCTGTATAAATCAAAACACCATCCCAAGAGAGAATTGCAAATCTGAGTTTTTCATTCCAACCATTATTCCTCGTATCATCGATTGCAGCATTACAGGTACGCTTCAAAATATTCCTTTTTTTTTTTTTTTTCTTTCTTTCTTTCTTTCTTTCCTTTTTTGCTTTTAAAGTTCAAGTTCTTGGTACATAATATTAACTATATTCAGCTCATTTTGTAATTTGCATGTATTTATATGGTTTGGAAATTGGCTGATCACCTATATTTCTCTTACTTTTCTTTGAACTGCTTTAGGTGTTTTCTGTGATGGCGGATATCAGTGGCAAAGCCTTTGAACTTTCTGTAAAGAAAGAAGAACCAACTTTGGTGCCTCCTGCAGAAGAAACAGAGAAGGGCCTGTACTACCTCTCAAACCTGGACCAGAACATTGCGGTCATCGTTCGTACCATATACTGCTTCAAATCGGATTTAAAAGGGAATGAAGAAGCTGTGGAGATCATAAAGAGTGCCCTGTCAAAGGTTCTTGTTCACTACTACCCTTTGGCAGGGAGGTTAAGTATCAGCACAGAGGGGAAGCTGATAGTGGATTGCACAGGAGATGGTGCCGTGTTTGTTGAAGCTGAAGCAAACTGTGAAATGGAAAAGATAGGTGACATAACAAAGCCTGATCCTTTGACTCTTGGGAAGCTGGTTCATGATATCCCTGGTGCCAAGAACATACTTGAGATTCCTCCCTTGGTTGCTCAGGTTTGAGTTTCCGAAATTTTTTCATGCTTTCTTCTTTCAGTTTTGAGAACAGTCTACTCACCACCATTGATATAGCATACCATCTTACTCAAGGATCGTCATGTCTTAACAAAAACTATAATTAGTTTTTGATACACTTGTTATAACTTGGAGTATAAGAAACTGTCAAGAGAGCTACTATTGCTGATCTTTGATATAACCAGACCTTTTTATAACCAAAACGAACAAAAAGAAATTCTAAGGTGATTGTTTAATCAATTTCAGGTGACCAAGTTCAGATGTGGAGGATTTGTCCTTGGGCTATGTATCAACCACTGTATGTTTGATGGGCTTGGGGCAATGGAATTTGTGAACTCATGGGGTGAGACTGCTAGAGGCTTGCCACTTAAGGTCCCCCCATTTCTTGACAGAAGCATACTTAAAGCCAGAAACCCACCTCAGATAGAGTTTCCACACAATGAATTTGCTGAGATTGAAGATATATCTGATAACACCAAACTCTATGAAGAAGAATTGCTATATAGGTCTTTCTTTCTTCACCCTGAGAGCCTTGAAAAGCTCAAGAAAATGGCCATGGAAGATGGGGTTCTTGACAAGTGCACTACATTTCAAGCACTCTCTGCCTTTGTTTGGAGAGCTAGAACTCAGGCCTTAAGAATGAGACCAGATCAGAAAACAAAGCTTCTTTTTGCTGTTGATGGGCGCTCAAGATTTGAGCCACCAATACCAGAAGGGTTCTTTGGGAATGCAATTGTGTTAACAAATTCACTGTGTAGTGCAGGGGAGCTATTGGAGAGGCCATTGTCATTTGCTGTTGGGCTAGTTGATAAGGCAGTTCACATGGTTACAGATAGTTATATGAGGTCTGCCATAGACTACTTTGAAGTAACAAGAGCTAGGCCTTCTTTGTCTGCAACTCTTTTGATCACAACTTGGTCTAAGCTAGCTTTCCACTCTACTGATTTTGGGTGGGGAGAGCCTGTGCTGTCAGGGCCAGTGGGTTTGCCTGAGAAGGAAGTAAGTTTGTTCCTTTCTCATGGGAAAGACAGGAAAAGCATAAATGTACTTTTGGGTCTGCCAGCTTCTGCTATGAAGACATTTGAAGAGTTGATGCAGATTTAAAAAAGAAAAGTTGGCCAGGTTAAGGAGGAGAAGCAATAATCATAACCCCAATTCAATTTACAGAGTGAAGAAAGAAAGAAAGAAAGAAATCTTGAGAATGAATAAAAGGGTGGTAGAACTTGCAAAGTTTGTTATGCATATGTTTCATCTATTTTCTTTGTTTCATTTTAATGTGTGGTTTGTATGGTGAGTATATTATACATATGTTCAGCAGTTCATCAAAAGGACATGAATTCAACTTCTAAATCAGGTTTTGTTGGGTTGCGTAACTACCAAGTGCTTGTAATGATGTCTAACACTAAATTCATCATAAATCATCAACAATTACTAGGAAACATTGACTTGGGTGTACTAATATTTAAACTGTCTTTGTGATAGTCAATTACTTAGTCAGTTTGGGTATAGTTGATTTATGAAATAATAGAAAACAAGGATTCATGTTCATTGCAATGCAACTTAAAATCACAAACCAACAGTTTTGATATATAGGGCGCCAATCAATTACAAGCCGATTTTGCAGTAGAACTTCAAATTTACCTTTTCTATAGTCTGCAAGAAGGAGATCTTGTGGCATGGTACAATCCAAGTTCCACG